TCCTCTTGGAATTTTAGTTGTCCTCTGGTTCCTCCAGGCTAGTACAGGCTGATCCAGGAATATGTGCCAGCTGTTGTTAATCTGGGCCAGATGCCTGGTGGTTCTAATCTAATCTGGTGGTGGTGGTGATGGTGGTGGTGGTGCGGTGTGTGTGTGTGTGTGTGTGTGTGTGTGTGTGTGTGTAAAATTTACATCATACCTGGAAGTGCTCAGGGCTTACTTCAGTACTTCAAGATCTGAGCTCAGGGATCACCCCATTAGGTGCTCAGGGGACCTTGTGCTGAGGATCAAACCCAGGTTGGCCACATGCAAGGCAAACGCTCTGTACTGTCACTCAAGTCCCACTACCTTTTTTTTTCTCTTATACAATCTAATAATCTTTAATGTTTTCTTGCAACCAGTGGGATAGTTCAGGGATTTATTCCATCTATGACTGGAATTTCTTTTATTTCACTTTGAACAATTTCTTGTTACTGAAGTGGCAGAGTCCTTTTCATGGCTAGTATTCCCTTATACACTCTACACCCCATTTTAAAAACCATCACTTCACTGAGAAAACTCTTGGGTTGTTTCCCTGTCTGTTATTGTAGATCATGCTACAGTGATGTTGTACATTCTCCTTTGGATTAGTGTTTTTGCTATGCTCAGAACAATCCTGGAAGTGGAATTGCTGGATTGAATGGCAGTTTGAGGAGTCCCCTTGTTATTTTCCACAATGATAGTACTAATTTACATTCCTCAAATACAGTACAAGCGTTCCCTATTCTTTACACCTTTAGTACTACTATTTATAATTTTTATCTTTTTAATGATAGTTATTCTAACAGATGTGAGATGACTTGTGATTTATTTGTACTTTTCTGAGAAGTGATGTTGAGTATCCCTTCAGACCTCTGTTGACCCCTCTTTGGGAGAGGGACAGTGGGCTACACCTCGTGGCCCTCTGGGCCTATTCCTAGTTCTGAGTTCAGATGTGACCATATGTGGTTCTTTTTTTTTTTTCTTATTTTAATCGAGTTCAGTTGCTTTCTACTTTACAGCCCATCAAATGTGGTGTGCTACTCTTTGTACTTCAGTGGCATAGAGTATGAGATGTCACTCCAGGAATTCTAAAATTTAAAATGGGGTGATAGAGCTGGAATTAAAATTTTAACTGCATGGTGACTTTGGGGTCTGGAGGCATCTCAGCAGCTTGTGGCTCTCTCCTGAGATGTATTTGTGAGTCTCTGGATCATGACCATTAATGAGCTTCAATGGCAGTAGAGGGAGTTTGTGGGCATGACTGGAAGAGCAGGGAGATGGGGGTAGGTCACCCATTCCTGACTCCATGAGAGTCTGAAGATTTCAGTCACAAATCCCACAAACCTGGGTTTTTCAACAGATTTATTCCCAGGAGCATCATTCTGACTGTGTTCAGGAGACACTCCCAGCAGTGCTCAGGGATCCAGGTGGTGCTGGGGGTCAAACTTGGGTCTTCTATGTGCAAAGCATGTACTTGGCCCTATGAGTCATCTTTCACTTACTAGTATTAAAAGATTATTGATGGAAATTTTTTTTTTTTTGCTTTTTGGATCACACCCAGCGATGCTCAGGGGTTACTCCTGGCTCTGCACTCAGGAATGACTCCTGGAAGTGCTCAGGGGGCCATATGAGATGCCAGGGATCGAACCCAGGTTGGCTGTGTGCAAGCAAATGCCCTCTCCACTGTGCTATTCCTCTGGCCCCTGTTGGTGGAATCTTAAGGTTTATTTTTGGGAGAGGGCCAGGGCACCTGGCAGTGCTCAGGGATTATTCCTGGCTCTGTGCTCAGGGATCACTCCTGGCAGGGCTCTGGAACCATATGTGGTGGTGCCAGGGATCGAACCCAGGTTGCCCCCCTGCAAAGCAAATCCCTTACCCTCTGTGCTATCTCTCGAAGCCCTCTAATACTACTGTTAGTAAATATGGCAAGAGTTGGCATCCTTGTCTTATTTCTGTTCCAAAATGAGAAGTTTTTGGCTTTTTTTTTTTGGTGGAGAGATGCATATCTGGTGGTGCTCTGGGCTACTTCCAACTCTTCTCTAGTTGCTCCTGATGGTACTTGGGGATAGGCCACACGAGGTGCTGGGGATCAAACCAGTGCCTCCTTACGTGATGCATGTATTTAGCCTGTTGAACTATCCTTTTGTTCCTAGGATTCTGGCTCTTTCATTATGAAGTCTGATGTTAGCTGTGGTCTTGTCATATATTGTCTTTATTATGTTGAGGCATGTTCCTCTATACTTTTAGAGTTTCTATCATAAAAAAAGCAGTTGAATTGTGTCAAATGCTTTTTTTAAATCTTCTATCCCGATAGTGATATAATTTTTATCTTTCATTTCGTTAGTATAGTATAACACAAGTGTTTTGCATGCACCGAGCTATATTTGCATCCCTGGAATAAATCCATCCCCCTTGATCATAGTGCCAGTATCCTTTTGAGGTATTGAATTTGTTTTGCCCATATGTTGAAATTGTATGCATCTGCATTCATCAAGAATTTTTATCTGCAGGGGCTGGAGCCATAGCACAGTGGGTAGGGCATTTGCCTTGCATGCAACTGACCTGGGTTTGATTCCCAGCATCCCATATGGTCCCTTCAGTACTGCCAGGAGTAATTCCTGAGTGCAAAGAAAAAAGAAAACTGCAGATTAAAATTCTTTTTTTGATTTTTCTTTTTGGGTCACACCCAGCAATGCACAGGAGTTATTCCTGGCTCTGCACTCAGGAATTACTCCTGACGGTGTTTGGGGGATGATATGAGATGCCGGGGATTGAACCAGGGGATCGAACCCAGGTCAGCTGCATGCAAGGCAAATGCCTTACCCTCTGTACTATCACTCCAGCCCCTTGTTTCACTTCTTATTTTAACTTTAATCCTCTCTTTTTCTTAGTGAGAAGAGCTGAAGGTTTGTCTATTTGGCTTAAAAGTTTAAAAGGTCTTTTTTTTTCTTATCTGTTCTATTTTCTTTTATGATTCCATTTCATTTTTTTAAATTGAGAATCATTGTCCATTTCATTTGCTTTTTACTCTGATCTTTTCTATTTTCTTCTAATTTTAGTTCTTTTCTTCTGCATCCTTGAGATTAAAGTTAGATGATTTGAGTTCTTGTTTCTTAATGTAGGAATTAATTACTATTAACTTGCCTCTTGGAACTGACACTGCTATGCCCTGGTATATTGGTAATTCAGTATGTTGGTTTCTAATTGTTTTTATTTCTAAGAAAGAAAAAGTTTTTTATTTCTCTTTAATTTTATTAACTGTTCAGCAGCATCTTGTTAACTTTTACATATTCAGGAAAGTTATGTTTTTTTGTAATTGATTTATTTCATATTTTTAAAATTTCATATTGTTGTAGTTCAAAAATATGTTTGAGGGGCTAGAGAGATAGTCCAGTGAGTTGGGGGCATTTCCCTTGACTGTGCCTGACAGGTTCAATCCTCAGCACCACATATGCTGTACACAGAGCCAGGAATAAACCCTGAGCACCATTGGGTGTGGTCCAAAAAGCAAAAAAAAATTTTTTTTCTTTTTGGGTCATGCCCGGCGATGCACAGGGGTAACTCCTGGCTCTGCACTCAGGAATTACCCCTGGCGGTGCTCAGGGGACCATATGGGATGCTGGGAATCGAACCCGGGTTGGCCGCATGCAAGGCAAACGCCCTACCGGCTGTGCTATTGCTCCAGCCTGCAAACAAAATTTTTGATGTGATTTGTCTCAAATTACTAAAACTTGTGCTGTGGCCTTATATATTCTGGGGAATTATCCATTTGCAAATGAGCAGTACGCTATGATATACTTTTGAATGGCGTGTTGTGTATATGTCTGCTCGCTCCATCTGGTTTAATGGGCTATTTTAAGTCTGTCTTAATTTACTGATTTTTTTTCCCCTGAATAATCTGTTATGGAAGTGTAGAGTAATAAAGTATTGTTTTGGGAGTAGAGAGATAGTACACTGGGTAAGGTGCTTGCCTTGCCTGTGGCCAATCTGAGTTCCATCCCTGGCATCATATATTTCCCCCCAAACCCCAGTAGGAGTGATCCCTGAGCACGGACACAGGAGTAAGCCTTGAGCACTCCCCCAAATATTGCTTAATCTTATATTGCTATCATGCTACTATTATTGTATTGATTTTATTTCATCTTTAAAACTATTGCTTTTTTTATATACTTAGGTGCATCATAAATATTTACAGATATAAAATTCTTTTGTCTAGTTGACCTATTTTTATTATTATGTAATGGCTGTCTTTTACTGCAGTCTTTATCTTTTTTTTAAAGAAATATCTTATTTTATTTATTTAATTAATTTATTTATTTGCTTTTTGGGTCACACCCGGCGATGCTCAGGGGTTACTCCTGGCTCATGTACTCACTCCTGGTGGTGCTCGGGGGACCATATGGGATGCTGGGAATCGAACCTGTGTTGGCCATGTTGGCTGCGTGCAAGGCAAAAGCCCTACCCGCTGTGCTATCGCTCCAGCCCCTGCAGTCTTTATCTTAAGGCCTGTTTTGTCTGATATAAGCATAGCTATGCCAGCTTCTCCTTTGGCTTCTATTTGCCTGGTATGTCTGCTTATGTGCTTGCAATGCAGGGATTGAACTTAGGGACTCACACATGTGAAGCATGTCTTCTACCACACGTTATGTTCTAAGCCCATGGAATACCTTTTTCAGCGCATCTCAAGTAAAGTTTATATCTCATGTAAAAGATCTTTTACTTCTCAAGTGACTCTTTTGGAGAGCATATTGATGTATCTTGTTATTTTTACCTATTTCATCATTCTATCTTTTGCAGGGGAGGTTTAGCCCACACTGAACAGTGTTCAGGGCTGTTCCTGGCTCTGTGCTCAGGAGTGACACCTGGTGATGCTTGGGGGATGGACCACATGTGGTGCTGAGGATTCGAACCTGGACTGCAGTCACTCCAGCATGCAAGTTAAGTGCCTGAGCTCCTGACTCTGTCTCATTTTCTTGCAGGAACCTGAGAAATCAGTGTCCGTCTTGGATATGTCCTCATCTCCCAGAAGTGGTGGCGTGCACACCTCCTGGAACCACAACCCACCAGGCTATCGCCTCTGCGCTTCCTGTCCAGACCTGGCGAGGGTTCCCTCGGGATCTGTAGAGACTGTCCGGCAGAATGTGGGTGAAGTGGAGTCACGGTTCAGTGTGTTGCTGCCCGAGTCTGGTGTGAACTACTGCTCCCCAGTGGCCCTGATGCCTTCACGCATGATTTACTGTCAGGGCCCAGGCCCCTCCCAGCCCGGAGTGATGCTCCTCAGGGGGCCTCAGGCGGGGTCCTTGGGAGAACCGGGGATTCCCAGAGTGGCCCTGACCTACAGTGGGAATCTCAGGGGGCCCTGCACTGGGCCATCCACCTCGGCTCCCACTGGCGTCTCCATGATGTCCCGCATCTGGAACCCACCAACGCCTTGTTCTGGTTCCCCCAAAGGACCTCCCAGCAGGGATTCTCTAATCCCTAAAATGACCTTGGCCCCAGTCATGTCTTCAGCCGAGACCCAGGCAACGCTCCCCTGTTTGCCTGAGGTGTTATCCTCTAGAGACCGCCACGATCTTGAGATGCCCCTGGCTGGATCCCCATCACTGCTGGCTTTAGAATCCCCAAGTTCTTCTGAGAGTCAGCCAGCCGGTGGGGAAGATTACTCCTTACCAGAGCAGCCCAGAGCCTCAGCCCAGGGGCCAGAGCAGAGCCCCAAGACCCAGGAAAAGGATCCTGGGAGAAGATCGCCGATTTCAAGGCCGTACCGCTGCCAGCATGAGAACTGTGGCAAGGCCTACACCAAACGCTCCCACCTTGTGAGTCACCAGCGCAAACACACAGGTATATGGTGGTGGCGGGGGTGTTTCTGGTATGTAGATTGGCCAAGAACGACTGGGATTTGACCTTCACTCCTCACCACGAGACCTCTTTTCTCTCCTCCAAACTCACTTGCTCACACAGTCCATGTGGTTGTGCCAAGGTGAAGGTGACAGGGAGGGATAGGTGGGAGAGGGAGGCGGGAGGGACTGATGGTGGCCGTCACAGCACAGCCCTCTCTGGGAGCCAGCCAGCCTGTGGGGAAGATAACTTGGCTTCTTTTCTCTCTTTGCTCCTGATGTCTCAGTTGTGGCTGCTTGCCTTCCAAAGTCTACCTCCTCCACTTCCTGCTGGGCCAGTCCACTTAATTCTTCCCCTCTCTCCTCACCCCTCCAGGCGAGAGGCCCTACCGATGCAAATGGGAAGGCTGCCTGTGGTCTTTCATCCGGTCTGATGAGCTTGGACGGCACATGCGCATCCACACCAAGTACAGACCCCACCGGTGTGAGCTGTGCGGCCGGCAGTTCATGCGCTCAGACCATCTCAGGCAGCACCAGAGAACACATGAGCGGGTGTCCAAGTCTCCGGAGGTGCAGGCCAGTGGTGGACAAGCACCTGTTTCTCCTGCTCCTGGTCTTTAAGTCCATCTCTTCGGCCCCGCATTTCGCCTTCTCCACCCACACCCCACCTGCCTCTGACCAGCTGGTCCTGGTGGACGGCGTCGACCTAGAGGAAGACACATCTTTACAGAGACCCACAGGGTGCTCCGTCAGAGCAAGGATCTTCTCCAACATCTTCTCCTACCAAGTTTGGTCCCCTGGGACGATGGAGCAATGAGAGTTCCGGAGCTTTGTCCAGCCAGAGGCCCCATGCCTAACACTGTCCCAACTTGAAGCCCTTCTGTGGCTCTCCTTTGCCTACAACATAAAAATCCAAGTTGTTTGTCATGGTCTTCCAGAGCCAGACTGTTCAGCGCCTGACCTGCTGTGAGCTCGCCCTGTTACCCTGCCAGAGCAGAATCTTTGATCCTCATGCCCCATCTCCTCTTCTGGAGAATGAGAAAAACGGGACCGGCTTGTTTGTGGGAGACACGTCTGCAGTCCAGAGGCTGCTGTGCTGGGTGTTCTCCATCACTGCCCAAGCTCCCAGGCCTGGCCACCACTTTGGGACTTGAAACAGCACAAGGCAGATGGGGTGTGGGAACGGGCCTCTTGGGAGCCTCCAACAGCCCAGAGTGTGGGGGTGCAGAGGTCTGGAGAGGTGGGACAGAAGGGTGGGGCCTTTCCTCCAGCCCCTTGCTGCATTACTGCCAGGCAACCAATAGCTTCGTGCCAGCGAACACCCTGCAGCCAGTGGAAGGACATCCTGCGCCAGTGGACACCCCTGCCAGACTTATTCCGGAGCTTCTGCCGGAGCGGGACCCAACCCGTTGTCACCTTGCCTCCCCCATCTTCCTCCCCTATCTGGCCTGCTCCCCCTCCCTTCCTCCCCCCCGCCCCAAATAAACCCTCCATGTTTAGTTTGGTTTATAGGCTCCACTTTCTAGGTGATATGGGAGATGGTCCAGGAATCCTGGACTTGGCTGTGCCTATCTCTCCCACTGCAATGCTTTTAGGGATACCTTAGTCTTTTGCCCCCTGTGACCCCAGCACACCTCCAACAGGCGTCCACATGTGTGTCTGAGCACGGCTGGGGGTGGCCCCTATAAATTAAAAACTTGTTTCTGTTTAAGGAGAAAAAAAATGGTGGGAGAGATCTAGGGTAAGGCACTTGTCTGGCACACAGCTGACCTGAGTTTGCTTAGGTACCAGACATGGTCCTGGGAGTCCCAAAAGGAATGAACCCTTAGCATAGAGACAGCTATGAGTGCTCAGCACCACTGAGTATGGCTTCAGACCTCCTCCCTCACTCAAGAAAAATAGACAACATGTTGAAGAGTAAGCGATGGCTGAGAACCCTTTGGGCCATACTGGTAGTGCTCTCCTCTGCCACACTCTGGCCCCCCAGAGTCTGTAGATTCAGATAGGATCATCTAGTAGGAAAGTGTTGGATGTGATCTGCCCTTGACACTCACTGGGCCTGTGTTACTGGTCTGCAGCTTGACTTTAGGCTACCTGAAACAAGCCTCTTGCCTTTGGTCTGGCAGGACTGGCCCAGCACATCAGCAGCTTCCTGCTGGTCAGCCAAGAGAGAAGCCTCATCCTTGTCAATGTTTGTCCATGCTACTTGGAGGGACAGGACATGGCCCTGGCAGACTGCCGCTGAGACCATGACCCCTCCATAGCAGGATCAGTGGAATCTGGAAGATGGTCAGCAAGGCTTCTGGCAAAATTCCAGGAGTGCATTTGCAGATGAGTCCAGAGCAAAGTCCTATTTGTGAAATGCGAAGAGGCCCAAGTACACAGGGAACTATCAGACTTGGCCTGCTGACCTGCTTGGCAACCTTGCTGGAGGAGCTTGCCCTCTTATCAGGCAGCCATGCCCAGATGTGCATTAATGTTACGTTCAGGGAGTAGCTGTCCAGGTATTTCCTCATGAGGCCAGCAGACTGCTATGTGGGTCTCTTCCACCTGGTACCCTGTGAGGTCGCCTTCCAGGGGACCACGAGCCCTTTGAATGCCATTGGATTAGATGCCTTTCCAACCCTAACCCTGTTCCCAGCACCCTTTCCCTCTCTGCTCCATGAAAAGACTAGTCAAGTCTGGGGATATTAGTTATTGTGATTACACAGCCCTCACCTTTGTGAGATCCTGAGATTAAATTCTGGGGCATGAGTGTGAGATCCCAACACACCACCAACATGCACGCATACACAGACACTGACATATGTAGAGATAACCATTTAAAAAAGAAGCGCCCCCCCTCACCAATTCAGAGCCGGATCACAAATCACTGGTTGATGGATACAAAGCTGAGTTCATATACCCCTACTGTTGGTATGGTTTTGGGGGGTAGCAACCAAGAGGGTCATATTGGGGACACTGTGACACTGGGTTCACACTTGCAGTCTCAACATTAGATTCAAAACCCTAAGGCCCACCGAGGCCCACAGATTGCTTTGTATTTGTAACTACCATGACACTATTTCCTAGAAGTGGAAGGTGGAAAATGATCTCAATGTGGTTGGGGCCTCATAATCAGCTATAGCTCCAGGGCCTCCAAGTTCATAGAGGCCTGAGTCAATCTTTACAGGGAAAATTTGCAGATTTGTGCTCGGTTTCAGGGTGTGAGTGGGTAGAAAGTATTTTTCAAAGGGACCACTGGATTTGAAGAGTGGGGTGGATTTTCCACAGAAGTTTTTGTTAGGTTGGCACAGCTGGGAGCTAAAAGGAACTCCCAGTTAGCCCTAAGTGGGCAGGGCTGTGAGCTCCCAGACCAGGCAGCAGGGAAGGAAGCCCCATTTCCTCAGGACCTCACTATGTCCATGCAAAGGCTACAGTCCCTTCCCTGCACACATGCAGGTGGAAGGTAGAGAAGGCTGAGGCACTAGAGATGGCTCAGTGCGGCTATGACTCTGCCTTGTCCTGGGTCTGAGTACCTGGTCCACAGGCCACCCAAGCCTCTTTAGCAGTCATAACCCCACAGTCATAAACAGGAGGGCCAAGACTGAAGACAAGGGGCAGGTAGCCCCCTGGCTACTGGCATTTGACCAGACCATGGTAACCTGAACAGTCATAGTCATGACAGGAGACGACGATTTTTCAAAATGAGTTTATTTCATCGAGCATTTCACAGTGGAGGGCACCACGTGTTCTCTTGCTCTGAACCCACAGATATGGAGATTCAAAAAACACGCACAGATATAAAAATAAATATATAAAGTGTCTAGGGGTGAGATAGTCCAACAGGTAGGGCACTTGGCTTGCACATGGAAAAGCATATGATGGCCTAAGAAGTACCAGGAGAGCACTGAGCCAGGAGTAATTCACGTGCAAGACAGTGTGGCACAAATAGCCCCCACCCTAAAGAGAACTTTTAAAAATGAATTGAAATTCCTGATATGTGCATTTAATTTCAGCTTCACGCGCAAAATATCTGTACAGTTCATGATTCAGTATCCATTGGAAGACCTAAGTATTTCTTGTAAAAATACTCATAAAAACTCCAACTCTTTACAAATTAGTACAGTAGGTCAGAGATGAGACTCAGAGGGTGGAGTGCCATGCTCTGCCAACAGGAGCCCCAGACTCAGTCTCCAGTACCTCACAGACTCCTGAGCACTTCAGGGTGTGGCATAATTACCAAAAACAGTAAAAGAGAGAAACAAAATATAATATGATCTTTGAATATATAGGTTAGTGTGAATTGCCAAGAAAAGTCCTCGCTAGGAGATGCAGCTGTTGGGTGTCTAGTTCGTGGGCAAGCATTATCTGTGCACTCTTGCATGCTGCTTTAAATGATCAGATCGGGCAAAATTCTTGTGACACTTAGGACAGCGGTAGGGACGTTCTCCAGTGTGTGTCTTCATGTGTCTGCTGAGTTCATCGGTGCGGGAGAATTTCTTCAGGCACCCTTTCACGTCGCACACATAGGGCTTGTCTCCTGGAACAGAGAGAGAGAGAGAGTCACTTGTTATTCATCAGGCATGAATGGCATGGAACAGAAAATGGTGTGAGCATGTGTAGAGGGAGCACCTGAGCAGACTGGAGGGTGTGTAGGAGAGAGGGAGAGAAAGGTGACATGAGCTGGAGAAAGGAGAGCTGGAAGAGGGGAAGGGACACCCAGAGAGCGCTCAGTCAGAGCAGTGAGAAAGATGTGGAGATGGGCTGTTTGTGCCCTAGAGACAAGGTCAAGATCAGCCCAAAGGGACAAACCAATCCTTCCATGGCCCAACAGCCCACAGTCCACTCCAGAGACCAGCCAGCTAGATTCTGACCATAACTAGGCTCTCCTGAGGACCGTGGGGCCTTGCTCTCTCATCTGCCAACCTTCTGTAGGCCACCAGGGAACCCTGGCGGTGAGGGAAGAGCAACAATCTGAACTGAGTGTCAGTCCCTTGTCCCTGCCCCTACTCACCAGTGTGGATGCGCTCATGGATTCGCAGTTGGGAAGGCTTGGTGTACTCCTGCCCACAGCCCTGGAATGTGCATGCATAACGCTTCGGACCATCAGTGTTTATGTGGTGTCCTCTTCTCTGGGACTTGTTTGACTTATGCGATTCCTGGGATGGTCCTTGGACCAAAGGGACACTTGAATGCAGGAATCCTGACTGTGGCAGTGGCAATCCCTGTGGCCCCATCTGGATGCCATAGAGGTTCTGGGTGCCACTTTGAGTCACAGGCTGACTACCAGAGGAGGTCTGGTGACCGATGAAGATCATTGTCGGGAGCCCTGTCACAGGGATCATCTGCACTCCAGAGTGAAGCATCTGGTTTCCATTGATGGTGTGGACTCCGCTGAAGGGCACTTGGTTCACCAATAATATTTGGGCACCAATGTGGGGCACCTGGTTCCCGCTGAAGGACTGGTTCATGCCCATGGACACTGGAGTCCCATATACAGTCTGCTGTCCAGTGAGGGACGTCTGGCTCCCATGTGGTGTCCAGTCTCCACTGGAAGGTATCTGATTTCCCCATAGCATTTGGGCAGCAACAAAGGGCATCTGGATTCCACTTATTATATGGGTACCAGTGTAGGGCATCTGGTACCCACTGGGGCTCTGTTCACTCCCAGGTGTCTTGATCTGTCCCTCTTGTACAGTCTGGTCCCCACTGAAGGTCTTCAGCACGTCTGTGTCAGGAGTCATGTGGGAGGCAGCTGTGGGATTGCTCTGAGCAGAGTAGTTCATGTTCTGTTCCCCGGAAGGCATCTCCACCAGCTCCTGAAGGTGCTGGTATAGCGCACTGTCCTCTTCAGTTGGCAACTGCAGGCTGTCTTGACCCTGGACAGTCAGAGACTCAGAGAACTGGGGTCCTTCAGGGAGTGGATCTGGAGCATTGGCCTGGTTCTGACTTGGATCATTTGCACTGCCCTGAGGCTGAAGAGGGACAGGCCCAGGCATCTGTACCTCTTTAAGGAGCTTATGGAGAATATCCTGCCTGTCTGGGGCCTCTCGTGTGCCTCCTGAGCCCTGGGGAGTCAGAGGAGCACAGAGCTTGGGTTTAGGAACAGCTGGATCTTCTGCCTCACGACTCTGGAGAAACTCTGCATCATTTTCATGAAAGATGTTAGTGGTCATACTTTGACTCTTGTCTTCCATGGACGAATTCTAAAAAAAAATCAGAGTAGAAAATCAGAGTTGGGCTTAGCTCAATCCAGTTCCACACATCTGCTCTCAATCCCACTGATGGCCTCCTAGCCTAGATTCCCATCTACCTTGATGACACCCACACTTCTCTTTCCACTGTCCTCCAGAATCTGCATTGATTCCATTCTGTGTGCCCTCCACATCTGGCCAGAGTGACTGCACCGAAAAGAAACTTCTCCTGTGCCAGTGCAGTCTACCAGTGCGGTGGGAAAACTCAACCAACCCTGTCTTTGAACAGTATGGGTGGAGATGCACAGGGATCACATCACTCAAAATCTAATCATGAGAGTGGTCAGTAAGATGGTCCAGTGGGCAGGAAACTTGCTTCTCATTCAGCTAAACTGAAATTAATCCTGGCACTCTATGCTCCTCCCCAGAGCAGTCCAGGTTTAAATTCAGAGCACCAGTAACAATTGGACCAGAGTCCTGCTGGTATTGCCACAGAATGTTAGAAATAAGCAAATGAAATACACTTTTTCAAATATATATTTGGTAAATATTTGGTTCCTTACCTGTTGGATGAACGTATCCATACTAAAACACATCTGACTCACATTTTCACTCTGCTGTGCAGTGGGAGACATCTGGCTCCCACCCTGTGCCTGGTCCCCAGTGAAGGATGTCATGCTCCCCCATGGGATTTGGGCATCATTGATGGGCATCTGGTTTCCACTGACAAACCCGCCCAAACTGAAAGGCCTTTGAATCCCATGTAGGGTCTGGTTTCCTGTTAAGGACATCTGGATCCCACTGATTCCAGGGGCACCAGAGAGGGGCATATTGATCTGTCTTTTGGTCTGCTCACTTCCAGAAGTTTCTGTAGAGCCTTCAGGCAGGGTCTGGTCCTCACTGAAGGTCTTCTGCACATCTGTGTCAGGCGTCTTGTGGGAGGCAGCTGTGGGATTGCTCTCAGTAGAGCAGCTCATGTTCTGCCTCCAGAAAGATGGCTCCATCAGCTCCCTAAGGAACTGGTCGACCACACTGAACTTGTCCTTAGCTGGCCCCTGGGGTGTAAGAG